ATAAGAGACAGAAGTTGGGGGATGTGTGGGGAGGGGAGGGGTTTAAGTTGAGGGGAGAGGGGTTAAGTTGGGGGATGTGGGAGGAGAAGGGCTCAAGTTGGGGGGGAGGGGGGTGAAATGTTAAGTTGGGGGATGTGGTGGCAGGGAGGGGGTATTAAATGTATTATATTGTATACATATATAATATATGAAATATGTATAATATATATGATATACTTGCGGAGGGGGTCAGGTTGTGGGATATGGGGGTAAAGGGTGCATGTTAAGTTGGGGGATGTGATGGAGGGAGGTGGAATTTTATGTATTATATTTAATTAATATATAATATTTATACACAATAAATATGCTATACCTGCAGCCTTCTTGCATGCCAGCGAAGGCTTAAGGGGAAGGCCGTATATGTATGACCATATATTTGATTATTGTTTATTACATTTTATAAATATATAAGACATGTAATATATATAATATATAATATTATATAAGATATAGAGTATACCCGCAGCCTTCTTCCATGCCAGCGCAGGCTTATGAAAGCCGTCAATATATGGCCATATACAATATATTTAAGTATTTATTACTATATTTTATATATAATATTATATATAATATAAATGTCATACCAGCCGCCTTCTTCCATGCCAACGCAGGCTTGGAGAAGCATAAATATATGGCCATATATTCGTGGAGGGGGAAGGGGAGAGGAGGAAGAGAAAGGAGGGGGAAAGGAGGGGGAGGGGGTGAGAAAGGATGAAAAAATGGAAGGGGGAGAAGAGAGAAGAGTGGAAGAAAAGGGAGAGGGAAAGGAGGGGGAATGTTGAAGGAGGCGGGAGGTGTGGGAGGATGGGGGGCAGCGGGGAAGAGGGGGAAAAGGGGAAGGGAATGAGAGAAGAGTAGGGAATTGAGGGAGGGGAACGGGGGGAATTGAGGAATTAAGTGGGAATGGAATAGGCGATGGGGGATGAGCGGAGGAGAAATAGATAAGGGGAGAATGAAGGTGGGGGAGAGGGGGAATGAAAATGAAGGAAATGTATGATGAAGGGGATAAGTGAGGGGGTTAAATTGAGGGGGGTGAAGGGAGTTGTATTTTTTTCATCGTTGAGACGCGAAGCCAATTTTTTTATAAAAAATCCATCGATTTTTTCACGTCGTCCGAAGAAGAAAAAGAAGAGAGAGAGAGAGAAAACAAGATAAGTACACATGAAATGGCGTCATAATTCATCGTTATGAAATAATAATAAAATATATTTCACAATATAGTTCAGTATTGCAATATTTCAGGAGATATATATTTATCATTAACAATAAACATGGAACGAACGTTTCACTTCAAGGCAGCAATTTCGATTAAAAAATTTTAAAAGATTTCGATTTTAAACTTTGCACTTCGAGTTAAGTATTGAAAACGAATATTTATTATTTAACAGCAATCTACAATATATTATTATTATATATATTATAATAATATAATATTATAATATTATTATTATATATATTATAATAATAAATTTATTATACATATAATTTGCTGCTTTGAAATGAAAGGTTCTTCCAACACGATATCGCTTAGCCTAGGTTAGAAAGGGTCAACTAGCAGCACAATGCATCCTATCCTAACCCTATCCTAACCGTACCCTAACCCTATCCTAACCATACCAACACCCCACCCTATCCAAACCCTATCCTATCCACATTCTATCCACATTTTTACCCTATCCTAACCAAACACTCACCCAATCCTAACCATACCCTCTCCCTATCCCAACCCTACACTATCCACATCCTCACCCTGCCCTAACCCTCACCCTATCCTAACTCCACCCACCATTACTCGACTACCCTTACCCTACGCGCATTCTACCCTTAAGACTACCTAGCGTTTCTTTCCCTAACCCTGTAGCATGCCTAGAACTATACCTGCTCACGTAGGTATGTCTACCTACTTTTCTACCTATCTCTTTATTTACCTATCTACCTTTAAATCTACCTAGATATCTGCACAAAAATTATGCCGACTATATGATTTATATATATTTACATATCAACATATTCGCGCACCTACCTAGCCATTTACTTGTAGGACCTGCCTAGCCACCTAGTCTCCCACACCTAGTCACCCATTCACCTCCTACCTAGTCACCTACCTGCCTCCTAACATATCAAAGTACTTTACTAAACAGGTACCTACCTATTCCACCTACTTATATAAACACCTATAGGGCACCTAGCAACGAACCGCAACCGATGCACAACATATCCAACGTTTGACCTCAAAATTTTCGTTTTGTCAATTTTCCAAAATTGAAACTTCTCAACCCAATCCACTTCTCAACCTATCCAACTTGTAGACGAGTTGAAATTCTGACGAGATTCTTTACCAAAATCAGATTTGCAATTTCACAACGATAAATTCAGTAACATTAACAAGTACAACAACAGCAATAACAACAGCAACACCAGCGACCACCCCAACAGTAACATTAAGAACAATCGCAACAAGAACAACAACCACCACAACAGTAACAAAAACAACGCAACGGCACAAACAACAACAGCATCACCAATAACAGCAGCAACAACAGCGACCACCACAACAGTAACAACAACAACCGCAACGGTACCACAACAACAGCAGCACCAACAACAACAGCAACAACAACAACAGCAGCAACAACAGCGACCACCACAACAGTAACAACAACAACCGCAAACCACAACAACAGCAGCACCAACAACAACAGCAACAACAACAACAGCAGCACTAACAACAACAGCAGCAACAACAACCACAACAGCAACAACAACAACGGCACCAAAAACAACAGCAGCACCAACAACCAACAACAACAGCAACCAGCAAACCAAACAAGGTTGCACAGAAGGGCTAAAAAATGCACCGCAAGAAGCAGAACAAAAATGAAAGATCAAAAGATAACAGAAAACAGGAAGGATTTAAACTAAGATTTTATGGTATTTAGTTACATATAGTAGGCCTAATGGGTAGTTAGGGTTATTAGTTACGTAATTTGGTTATTAGTTAACATTAAATGAAAAATATTCGGTTACCCAACCAGAATAGGGTTGTTATGGCTCTTGCAAATAATAGTAAATAATATATTGAACTACTATATAATTTCAATAAATAAAAATTAATATAAATAAATAATATATTGACGTAGTTGAAGTTGTTATGACTGTTAGGCTGTAGTTATAGAAGGAGTTAATGACTTGGTCATTAGTTATAATTATAAATTAATTGTTCTTTAAACCTAATTACTTATCACATAATTGTTAAGAACTCGATAACTTATTCAAGTTTATTAACAGTGAAAATTTTAGGTATGTGTTAAAAAGCTCACAGCCTAAACTTGACAACTTGACCTAAAACTTGACCCCAATTTCTTTCCACTAAAATTGTGGATCAAAATTAAATGGCATATAACACCGGTTAATGGAGATAATGCATGCAGAGAATAACACACTAATGGGCAGTTAGTAAATTGATATATAATTCGTTAACATACAAACATGCACGCATAACATTACCATGTCCGTCATGCAACATGCTTCTCTATTATATAAATATGCATTTATTATTAATTTATATGCACTTGCACAGTGAACACGTTCTCTACATGCATTAATGTTTCCAAAATTGTTGCTTATGTAACTTAATAAACACATTTTAATATATCTTCATTAATTTATATGTTACGATAATATAAAAAAATATATATATTTATATATCTTCATAAATTTATATGTTGTGATAATATTGATTATACAGGTCGGCTAAACTAATGGGCTGGTAGTTAATTAAGTTATGTCGCTAATGGTCTAATGGAGAGTGTCTGGTCTAATGGCAAGTCCAGCCATCAGAAGTCCGTTCATTCACATTAAAATCCATTATTATTATTAATATTTCATTCAGATTTTCAAGGACCCAGAGGCATTACTGGAATTTTATTGAGGATAAATAAATAACTTAATTTTTTATAATAAATAAATAAATAAATCCATTAACATATGAACTGCGCACCGGTGGCAGACACCAACTGCCTGGCTGTGGTTACACTCATTGCAATGCATGAGTCACATTGTCTACATAGTGACACACATTCCTATCCACAGCACGAGCAAAGAGGGATGCAGCACTGAGCCTTAGCTTTTGCCCGCCGAAAATGGGTCAGAATGACACACATGTGAGCCCTTTTTACCATGCAAAAGTGAATCAAAATGACCCACATAGAGGCTAGAAGTGCGTCGCAAGTTAAAGTCACTTTCATCCCCAGCAGCAAGCAGCAATATCCCTAACAAAATTCGGGGACAGCCGATGGGTTCGGCCGAAAAGTTATTACACTCGGCGCAGAGTCATTCTGGGTCTGCTTGGCCACCCGATCGTAATCAGTTTCTGGCCAGAATCTTCTTTCCGACTTTATAGTCGCCTGGGAGTATGAGAAGAGTAGGCCTAGCCGAGTCATACCGAGCTAGCAAGCTGCCTAGAGGCTGCCCTTCGAACCCTGAGCCGAAGTGGACATAGAGAAGCTGATTTACGTACGGTCCGAGTCCTAGGCGGTTCCTAATTCAGGGTCGCCACCAACTCAAAATTTTGATAGGGATGAGCCGCATCGTATATTAGCGGCTGATTTACGTGCTCCCCGAGTCCTAGGCGGTTCCTAATTCAGGGTCGCCACCAACTCAAAATTTTGATAGGGATGAGCCGCATCATATATTAGCGGCTGATTTACGTGCTCCCCGAGTCCTAGGCGGTTCCTAGTTCAGGGTCGCCACAAACTCAGAATTTTGATAGTGATGGCGGCGGCGAATATATACATATAATATAACTTCGGCGATTAGAACTACGTTAGTTAAGTTCATGATCATTAGTGGCGGCAAGAACATGTATAGCACGAATAAAGTGTATAGTTAATTATAAATTAACCTCGTAAAAACAACTGACACAAAGCGGGTGGAAATATTCAAAATTTAGACGATCCCTCAGCATCAGACGCTATCAACTCCTTGTAGAGCGGCGGTCACCTCAAAAGGGTAAATTCTATACTTCTTTCATACAGATACACAAGCAATATTTGTGTGCGATTGTGTGTAGAAGCTAACACCTTAAAGTCACTGTCAGAAACAGGGACATCACACTGCTCGGCGTGAGCGCGCACAGCCGAATGAGGCGGGCGCGATAGCAACTGTCCGGTTCTACAACTCCTGCCCTTATGCTCAGCGACCCTGGAGACACCCTACGAGCCTACGTTTTGACATCAACGTCAGAAGACCTTCTGGGGGGTAAGTAAGGACTACCTTTTATATCGTACTTGTAATTAAGGCTGCCTTCTAGAGCTACTCGAGTAAGGACTGATTTTGGGAACCTACATCTACTTGTGAAGCACCTTCCCGACGTTCCCTCAAACTGGGGAACTGGTAAAGGGAGTTTTCTAGCACTTCTCGCAGGATAACAACGGGACCCACACGAACCTAAACCCTCTACCGCCTGGCACGAGTAACCGGAGCAATATTGTCACAAGCCTACTTCCAGAAAAGGATAGGTTCTAGTGAGCTCTAAATGACTAGCACTGATGGTTGCCGCCACGTACGACAACTTTAAAGTGTTCCCTGTTGCGTACAAACGTCCTCAGGTTGTTACACCAGATGGCCGACAGCTGGCAACCTCTTACCCAACAACCAGAATTCTTTCGACCGCCATTTACCTCACAGATAATTTTTCAACACTTACATGGCCATTTACCGAGTTGCTTAACCTCAAAACTGTTTGTTTCCCCCAGCAAAATAAGTCCAACATCTCCTTTAAATGAACACAATTTTTGACCTCTAAGCCTCCCCTTAAGCCAGTCCTCCGCTGTTTTCACCAAATGTCCCCAATTGTGGACTTCTTCTACCTCCAAATGTCCCCAATTGTGGCCTTCTACCTCCAAATGTCCCCAATTGTGGCCTTCTACCTCCAAATGTCCGTAATTGTGGACGTCAATGTCCCCAATTGTGGCCTTCTACCTCCAAATGTCCGTAATTGTGGACGTCTTCTACCTCCAAATGTCCCCAATTGTGGACGTCTTCTACCTCCAAATGTCCCCAATTGTTGCCTTCTACCTCCAAATGTCCCCAATTGTGGCCTTCTACCTCCAAATGTCCGTAATTGTGGACGTCTTCTACCTCCAAATGTCCCCAATTGTGGCCTTCTACCTCCAAACGTCCCCAATTGTGGACTTTTCCTACCTCCAAATGTCCCCAATTGTGGACTTCTCCTACCTCCAAATGTCCCTATTTGTGGACTTCTACCTCCAAATGCTCACAATTGTGGACTTCATCTACTCTTCATCCGCCAGTCCCCCGCTGTTTACCCTGAACCTCGAGGCGGGTGTGGACAGCGGCCTCCCCAGCTTGATTGGTGGCCACGCAGGTGTAGTTGCCCTGGTTATGTCCTCTGACGGGGTCGATGGTCAAGATGGACGACCGCTGGCCCATCTTGGTGACGTGTACATCGTCGGAAGGGACAAGGGGACGGCCGTTGAACAACCAGGTGGTGGTCACGGGCCGGTCCCCGCTACGCAAGACGCAGTTCAGCTGCGCAAAGTCCCCCTCCAGGAACCGGTCCGACTCCAGGTGGATGGGCAGCAGCAGCGGCGGTTCTGGGGTGTGAACCGTGGGGTTAATTGAGGCGGTTTTGACGGTGACGCGAACCGAGGTTTATTGAGGCAGTTCTGGAGAGGAGGGTGAACCGTGGGTAATAGGGGTTAATTGAGGCGGTTCTGGAGCAGAGCGTGAACCGAAGGGTTAATTGAGGAGGTTCTGAAGCGGAGCGTGAACCGTGGGGTTTACTGAGGCGGTTCGGTCGACGGACGCAAACCGTAGACGTTCAAAATGACGGTTCCAGTCATTGTTGTGAACCAAGATGGTTAATGGCCAAAGTCCGGTTGAAAAACGAGCGCCTTCAAGTGCGCGCATCACAAGTGTTAATGAAGGCGAACCTTGTGTCGTTAAACCAGTGCTAACAGTTCCCGAAACCGATTCAGACCGACAGTTGTGCAAGTATATAATGGTTGTGACATCTAGAGTATAAATGGAAAGTTCAGAAAAAAGCAGCAGAACGAATGAAAAAAGTAAAGAAGTAGGGAAATATTCAACATAAATAGAAGAAGCGCATGCCGAACAGCAACACGTGACCTTGAACCACAGCAGAGCTAAGCTACCACATGACCTTGAACTGCAGCTGAACTAAGCATCTGCGTGACCTTGACCTACAACTAAACTAAGCTACCACGTGACCTTGACCTACAACAATACTTTTAACCAAACGATTCCACGATAAATAGATACAACATGCAGCCCAACAACCATATCTCAGTAACCAATATGACTGAGTACCATTGACCACCATGGTGGTGTCCACGGCCATCTGCCCAGCGTGGTTGCTGGCCACGCAGGTATAGTTGCCCTGGTGGTGACCTCTCACTGGGTCGATGGTCAAGATGGACGTTCGACCTCCAACTTTATCAATTTGGACGTCGTCCGTTGAGTGCAAGGGACGTCCATTAAACAGCCATGAAATTACGACGGGTTTGTCCCCGGATGTCAAGACGCAGTTAGACTGCGCCACTTCCCCCTCCAGGAACTGTGGCGCCGGAAAAGTTATCGCCAGCAGGCGGGGAGGTTCTGCGGGGGATGGGTCTGTCACCTTATCAAAATTTGGGGAGAGCCCAGGCTTCTGCGCATGAGTCGCTACACTCGGCTTAAAGTTATTCTGGGTCTGTTTGGCCACCCGATCGAAATCAGCTGCTGGTTAGAGTCTCCTTTCCGACTCTATATTATCCTGAGAATATGACAAGAGTGTCTTACATGTATGAAAAAAGTGCCTTAAAAGTATGAAAAATGTCCTGAGTATTAAAAGTATGTCCTGAGGATATGGGAAGGGTTGGCAAGGCCGAGTCATGCCGAGCTTGCATTCTGCTTAAGGACTGCACTTCAAGCCCGGCCGAAGCGGAGATTAGCGGCTGATTTACGCGCTCCCCGAGTCCTGGGTGGTGCCTGGTGCAGAATCAGACCCGCATCCGAATTTTGCTATGGCAAAATAATGGTTCCAAGGAGAATATTTAAGCCATGTGCTAGCTGTGGAGATGTGTTTGTCAGGATCTGGTTCAGTGGATGTTTGGTATCTGGGGAGCGGTTCCGCGAGAACCTGGTTCTATTTTGTTCGATGGTTCAACAATACTGACGAAGATTCGAACGGTTAGGTTTAACAACATGGACGAAGAGACGAACGGTTCGATGAACCATTACCATATGGAACGCGCGTTTACATAACAAGCCGCCGCTTCAGCGTTACGTTACTACGTCGTAGCGTTGACGTTAACGTCAAAGTGTACTGTTACCATCACATTAACAGCTCCCCATCACCTCATTACCGGATCTCCATTATCTCAATGGCTTAACCGGCAGCTGAATCAAATTGTACTGCATAAAAATTTCCCTTATTAACGACTGGGCGCTTCCATTATTTAATCAGCGGTAGAGGTTTACATCTTCGAATTATCAGCTTTCCATCTTATTAATTATTATTAGAATTATATATTAATTCCATTCAATTAGCGGCATACTTTAGAACACAAATAAAGAAGTTATTAGTCATAAGAGCGCATGCCTCGCTTATATTAAAGAAAAACACTGCGCAAACAACACTAATTTAATTCTTATAATTATTTGTATATTTTCAAAATACCGTACTCGGTTCCAGGCAACTAAAATCATAATCTACAAAGATTATTTGCCTTAGAATAATTTAAGATGAAAAATAATTTTCATATAAATTGAAATTTTCGAATTGAAGAAACCAGAAACCAAACAGAACAATAACAGAAGGACGAACAAGATTATCGCCGCGCCAAAGGCGGCAACCTCGGTAATCTTATAACCTTGTTACCCCCGCCCAAAAATAACACGTATCCAGGGTTTGTTTTGACGTACCACCCAAAATTCAGGGTATATTTTGCCGTACCACCCAAAATCCAGGGTTTATTTTGACGTACCACCCAAAATCCAAGGTTTATTTTGACGTACCACCCAAAATCCAGGGTTTATTTTGACGTACCACCCAAAATCCAGGGTTTATTTTGACGTACCACCCATGACCATGCATGCTGGAGCACCGCCCTTGACGGCTTAGCTGCTCACCAGCGATACCGACAAATGAACTGAGCTTCCCGAAGCTCGAACCCACGACTAGCTACTCTTATCTTGGTGCTGCTACCTGCCTATGCGCTACAGTGATCTATATATTAATTGACGTAACATTAATGGAGAGGGTCGCGACTACCGATACTCCACAACATAATCTCGGCCCTACAGTTCTGGAGCGACCCCTTGTCGGTGGTATCGTACTGCCACAAAAACTACCAATATTGAGCCCTTACAAGTACCATCAACCATTAACTGATGTATCATCAACCACTAACTGAGTCATCAACTATTAACTGATGTACCATCAAACATTAACTGATGTACCATCATCCATTAACAGATGTATCTTTAACCATTAACTGTTGTATCTTCAACCATTAACTGCTGACCCATCAACAATTAACTGCTGTATCATTAGCCATTAACTGATGTACCATCAACCATTATCTGATGTACCATAAACCATTAACTGAACTATCATCAACCATTAACAGGTGTACCATTAACAGCAAGGGCCATGTGTACTGCCATCTGCCCAGCAGGGTTGGCGGCCACGCAGGAGTAGTTGCCCTGGTGGTGGCCTTTGACGGGGTCGATGGTCAGGATGGACGACCTTTGACCCATGGCATTAATTTGCACTTCGTCGCTGATGGTCACGGGTTGACCATTAAATAACCACGATATTATAATGGGGAGATCCCCCTTATGGACCATGCAGTTCCCTTGCGCAAAGTCCCCCTCCACGAACCGATCCGAAGGGAAATTTAGTGGCAGGACTTCGGGTGGTTCTGCGAGGTAAAGAATTTTAATGGTAGAACGTTCGCTAAATCTGCGAAAAATTGAGATTATTGGTTGAATTTCCTGTTGTTTGCCAAGGAACCACGGTAATTAGTGGCATTACTTTCGGTGCTGTTGCGAGGTACGGAAATTAATGATAACACTTCCGGTGTTATCTTTACGATGGGCGCTGAAAAATTCACGTACGATCGGAACGGAAAATTTGTCAACGATGGGCGCTAGCAATACGCTTACGACAGGCGCTGGAAAAAAATCTACTCTTAAGTAAGGACTATTAGCAGTAGTAGTAGAATGGTGTGCTAACGCTTCAGCTATCAAGCTCTTTCGGACCGGAGGTCAAAAGATAACATCACCAGCAAGGCGGAAGGCCTCAATTATTCAAAATCTTGAATTAATCATCACCCAGAAGGGGTGGAAGGTCTCACGTGTCCAGCTCGCTGAAGCTCGTTCGAAAGAAGCAGCGTTAGCATCTCAAAGAAACAAAGTGACAAGGAGGGACAGGTGAAAAGCAGGGACAGGTGAAAAGCAACAGAAGCTAAGACAATCGAACAAGAGGTCGCTCACACGGGACGTCGGCCGCACGAGACAGAGAAGGGAAATGCAAGGTCCCACGTACATAAAAAACTCAACCCCGAAACCGAACCCCGCAGTCAGACACCGCGAGCGCAGTGGTGCATGGGGCGTTCAGGATCAATCTCCGTATAGGAGCGCGAAATCCCATAGGACTTCTAACGAGTACAGATACGCGTCAGACGACCTTCTGAGGGGTTAATAAGGACTACCTTTTATATCGTACTCATAATTAAGGCTGCCTTCTTGAGATACTAGAATAAGGACTGATTTTTGGAACCTACCTCTACAAAAAGCTGACTTGTGGAACTACACATAAGTAAAGCTTTCTCCTTCAGCTACTCCTAAGAGAGTGGTCTTCAAGAAACCTGATACCACACGTGAATCCAACCCCTCTACCAGCTAATCCTTAATACCATAACTAGAGTTCAGTTTGATCTTCCAACTGCAACCTAAATATAACCCTGAGTTAGAATCCGAAAAGACTTCTAATATGACTCTGAACTGGAATCCGACATGACCCTCAAAACGACCTGGAACCGGAGACTAAAATGACCGTTAATAGGACCCAGAACTGGAGTCTAAGATGGCCTATAATATGACCACGAATCTGATTCTGCTCTTTAATTAGATCCTAATGTTACCCCCTAACCGGAACCCAAATCCTGCCCCCAACTAGAGCAGAAGCAGGCATAATGGAGCACCATTAACATGGAGTATGGCGTGAACTGCCATCTCCCCCGCGGGGTTGGAGGCCACGCAGGTGTAGTTGCCTCGATGGTCACCCATCACCGGGTCGATGGTCAAGATGGACGACCTCTTGCCCATCCCCGCGATTTCGACGTGGTCAGAGTTGGTGAGGGGGAGGCCATTAAACTGCCATGATATCAACAGGGGGCTGTCACCTTTCTGTACCACACAGTTGGTCTGTGCCATGTCACCTTCCAGGTACTCAGGATCGAACCCAATGCGGGAAACCACCGGGGGTTCTGCAAGTCGTGGGTTTGAATTTAATCCGAAGAAGAATATGAGTTCCATCTTGTCGAAAAACAAGGTCGTGTAGCAGGCGATTTGAGGGCGACATCTTCCTTATTGTGAAGCCGCGGTTCTAGGAGGGTCCCTACGCTTAAGTTTTGAAGGTTTAAATCTGCGAAGGAAAAGACCATGCCCTTCTGCAAGGGAACATGCGCCCAGAGGGAGGATGGAGAGAACATACCGCTAAGGGGAAAAACTACCATAGGTTTCGGAAATTATGGACTTAATTGCCCATTTTGGAGCGCCGAAGTTACTACGCTTAACACAAAATGTGGAAAGTTCAGATGAAAATATTTGGAATCGCGTGTATAAAAGCAGTTCACCAATAACGTGCTAAAGGAATGAACAAATGCAGAATAATGTAGGGTAAAGGACGATATAAAATATTTTAATTTAAATTGATACAACCTAAATATCAAATTAGAATAATATTAATAATAATAATAAGAAAAAAGTCATTAAAAGAATCGAGTGAACATGAGCATGGATGCCAATAAAGAGCAAACAACAACTGTCAACAACAGCCACTGACCGTCAAAACTCCAGCCATTATCTCATTTTTATCATCTTCAACAAACCAATTTAACACATTTATTTTCGGAATTATCATTATCTTAACTTTAGCATATTCCAATGCACCAGTTTTCAATAAATAACTTCCTCAACGTCGGATGGAAGCAACCACCAACAAATAAATCGACCGCGCACTTCACACTATCAACAAGCCATGATCGACTACCATTACGAATGAACATCATCATAGATGCACCGTTGACCAGTAAGAACCAAGTAGTGCAGTCGTGCACGGTACCAGAGCTGGCGTACCACCATCAACCATCAATCGACACAAGAACAATGACCTGGCACCTAGTACCACCTACAATGTCTAGTAAGTGGTACTAATGAAATTAGTAATGCCAAGTAGGTGGTACCGAAAATTCAGAGGAATGCCAAGTGTCACTCTGAATTTTTGGCGTTTCGGAAATAAATTACATAATGTCCATTGTTCTGGGAAGCGGAATTCCATTTAAGATAGGCGCTGAAAAAAATCTTATCCTAAGTAAGAGCTGTTTTCGTGAACATACTCCTAAGGGTTATCATTTGTCACCTACTTCAACGTATGAACTTAAGTTTGGTCCATACTACTAAGAGCTGCTTCTATGTCGGGAATTGATTTTAACTGATAGCCAATTCACGACACCTCAGCTAGAGTCTGATTTATGATTCTCTAACCGGAGCCTAAGGCGACTCTGAACTGTAGCCTAAATCTCTACAATAACCCCCCTAACTATATCACCTCCTAACTGTAGTCCAAATCTTCCCATCTAACGAAAGCCAATATGACCCCCTAATTTGAGCCTGAATACTTCTTTCTTAACGGAGGTTAATGTCACTTCTCAACTAAGCCTATATTGCATACCCTAACGAGAGCCCGAATCGAACTTTCCCTTAAACTGTGGGCTAGCGAGTACCCCTAAGGCTTGGTTCACACCACACTGCCGGGCACGTGTCAGGCATATGCCAGTCACGGTCCGTTCTCTGCCAGGTGCATTCACATGTTCAGTCCGGTCAGGGGCCGTCATCACAGTTTCTTTCGTATCACGTGCCATGCCAGTCACCGGTAACATTGCCAACTGGTATATTTGTTAAATCTGGTATGTTGAGATGCTGTCTTGTATGGATCTTTTTGATCTGGTAAACTTGTCAAAATCTGGTATGTTGGGCTGGCAGTCTGATATACTCAGCAAAAAAAAGTGTTGGCAACACAGCAGTCACGTTCCAAACAAAATGTCTTTTGGTTTGATCGTACCTGGACCTTGGCTGGCAGGGCAAGTGCCCTGCACGGCAGGTGTGAATGCCTCTATAGAAATGCATTAAAGAATATTGGACTGAACCGTGCTTGACTTGTGCCTGGCTCGTGCCCCGACAGTATGGTATGAACCAAGCCTAACATGTGCCTTCTGTTGCCCTTTAGCTTTAACCAGCTGGAGCAGACTTTAAGAAGCACCATTAACATGGAGTATGGCGTGGACGGCCATCTGCCCCGCGGGGTTGGAGGCCACGCAAGAATAGTTGCCCCGATGGTCACCCATCACCGGGTCGATGGTCAAGATAGACGTCTTCTTGCCCATCCCCGCGATCTCGACATGGTCAGAGCTGACGAGGGGGAGGCCGTTGAACAGCCACGATATCAACACTGGGTTGTCCCCTTTCTGGACAACGCAGTTGGTCTGTGCCAAGTCACCTTCCAGATACTCGAGGTTGAACCCAATGGGAGAAACCACCGGGGGTTCTGAAAGACATGTGGGTAAAATTGATTTTTATCCCCGAAAGATGCGGAAATGCGGTCCATTCTGACGAAAGTCGAGGTCGAGGCCAAGTTTTAGGCGATTTGAAGGCGGCAACTTCCGTATTAACGCAGGCTCGTCGTCGCAGAAACGAACGCGAAATGTGTTCATTGCAGGCGTATTGATGCAATGAAGGTGAAGTGTCTTGTAGCAGCTAACGGTAATGGTCACGTGGCAGGTTAAACTATAGGTCCTGCGGCTGGTTACAAGTGTTTGTAAAAACAATTAAAAAGAGACATGAAAAGTTTTGACAGTAAGGATCAACCTCAACCCTTCCAGGGGGGCCCATATACCTTTACTTGAAACCTTAAAGGGAAAAACTGATCCACCTTGGGGGCGTGGGGATTGACCGGAGAAATATACCGTACTGCAAGGGAAAAACTTTGAGAAGAAAATACCATGAATAGTTTCGGAAACTACGATTCGAATTGGTCAGGTATCAATCGGCATGTTTATATAGGACACAAAACATGCGGAAAATTCGAATGAAAATGTTTGACATCGCGTTAGCAAAAACACTAACAACGCGCTTAAGTAAGGAATGTAACAAAACTGATTTTAAGTAAACGTAAAAATAAATCATTTGTATTTCAATGGATTAAAGAATAAGACTCATAAAGGAGAAAAATAGGATCATTAACAGGCCGAAGATAAGCAAACACGCCAGAACCAACAGCCAAAGACGAGGACAACCACGAATTCACTAGGCAATCACCGGCTGCCCAAATATAATATTAAAACATTCATTAGTAAAAAATTCACCTCAAATATCTCTAACAACCCAATAATAGATAAGCTCTTTTCTGAGTTTCTATTCCATTCGAAATATTTTTCATTGCCGAGCTGTATTCCTTCCCATTACTCAACGACTAGTGGAAGAAACTACCGTACAATATGTGGAACATGCAATTCAAACCATTAAAAGCCATGCTAGACTACCATCACGAGTGAACAGAACCTAATGGGTACCATTAACTTGTACACATAAAATAACGGAATCTCACACGGTACCGGTGCCGGCACCACTGAAAACATTCACCAATTAATACCACCTACATCTACCATTCCCCACTAGTTCCAGAAGAACTACTACCTGCCAACTAATACCACCTAGCCCTATATATATAGTAAAGCCAAGTGCCACCCATTACCCACCACTACCCAGAAGCATCGGTACTTCCCAGTGCCACCACACATCACCACCCAGTACCACCAACAATAGCCCATCGTCTTCAAGTACCACAAAGTACCATTAACATAGAGCTGTTCATGCACGGCCATCGCCCCAGCGTGGTTGGCGGCCACGCAAGTATAGTTGCCCTGGTGGTGGCCCTTGACGGGGTCGATGGTCAGGATGGACGACCTTTGACCCATGGCCATGATTTGTACTTCGTCGCTAATAGTCACGGGCTGACCATTAAACAGCCATGATATCATAATGGGGTGGTCCCCCTTGTGGACCACGCAGTTACCCTGTGCCATGTCATCTTCCAGGTACTGGGGGAGGTTAAAGGCGATGGGGGAGACCACAGGGGGCTCTGCAAGGTAGGGGTGTCCAGTTAGTTACACTGGGGGATACGACCTCCTTAGGGAGACCACGATTCTGCAGAGATAGGGGTATCCAACCAGATGGAACCAGAGGGCAGAGGAGATATTACATCTCTTAGTAGACCATAATTGATTAATATGGTGCACATGCATGGGAGTGTGTCCAGATGGCTCCGGAAGGTAAGACTTTCTCATGAAGACGACAGGGGTTCCGCAACAAAGAGGGTAACAAACCAGATGTCACCTGAGGAGATATGACATCTCTAGGTAGGCCATGAGAATTCAAAAGGATGGATGTGTCCAGTTAGTTCTCCTGGGGAAATAAGACCTCCTTATGGAGGCCACATATGGGTAAGGTAAAAGGTTATGGGTTTAGACTTTATTTGGTACATAACCCAGCGCCAAATCCGATGGAAATACAAGCGAGACGATTGCGTAGGCCGTGAAAATCCGAAGACAGCGCAGTCCGTCAAAAGTTGTTCAGAATAACTTTTGGGACTGGTTTTCATTCAAATTAGATTTGTCGAAAACTTTAGAGTTGACTTGTTAACTTGACTAGGGCGAAGTTAAATTTCGAGGGTTGAAGTCGTCTTCCGTGGGTTAAGTTGACGTCAGTGGGTCAAGTTGACTTACGCGGGTTGAAGTTTACATCCTTGGATGTCGTAAGTTGAAATTGTATTCCATAATAATAATAAAATATTCCCAAAGTCAAAATCCCAAAAATTCAATTATGTACATGGAAGAATATATATTTAAAAATTCTGCACCGATAATGTTCTATTTTATAAATATATAATTTAAATAAAGTAACCTAACAACATTTATGATAATAGTAGGAATCAATTTAAAAGGTCGGCAGAAGCAAATTATAAGGTAAATACAGTAAATAGGGGCAGGTACTGAGGCTATTAAAATAAATTATACAAAGGGGGTCACCAAGTCAAGGAAGGTAAGCAACGAAGAGAAGTAACTGAGCAAAGAAGTTAAGTAATCAAATATGGCGATAAGCAACTAACTACTTTCGCATGTAGTAAAGAAATCAATAAACTGCCACACGTCTGCCACGTGTTACTAAGCCAAACGTAGAACAGAACCACAAGCCGCAACATGCGAATAGTTCCTGGCCTGGACTAGCCTAGCTCTACCTATAGCCTTACCTAACCTATGCTAGCTCAGCCTGATCAGGTCTCGTCTAGCATGAACTATCCTACCTCAACCTATAGCCGTACCTAACCTATGCTAGCTCAGCCTGACCGAGCCCCGCCAAACATGAACTAGTCTAGCTTAACGTGGCTACATTCCACTAATCTAACATAGTCCTGATTAAAAGCCTATGCTCACTGCGCTTTCCTAATATTAACTTAACCACTATTATGATCTCCTGGAAAACAATGGTCACTTTTCAACTACATTTGACGAGTTAGATAGGAGGGAATACCTATAAAAAGAGAAGCTCACCATAAACCAGCATGGGACGAAAAGTGCAACCGTACCATCACACAAACCACGAATTCCACTCAGCACAACTTACCATCTAGTACCATCAAGTGCCATCAACACCCATCTAGCGACAACAGGTGACCTACAGTGCCATCGAGTTCTATAAATTTACACCAACTAGTGCCAGGAGGAACGCCTCAGTTCCACCAAGTACCATTAACAAAGAGCTGCGCATGCACGGCCATCTCCCCGGCGGGGTTGGATGCCACGCAGGTATAGTTGCCCTGGTGGTGGCCCTTGACGGGGTCGATGGTCAGAATGGACGACCTGCCTACTTCCAGGACCTTGGTGTGGTCGGAGGGGGTTAAACGCTGGCCGTTGTACAACCAAGAAAGTATGAGGGGTTGGTCCCCCTTCTGGACCACGCAATTGGTTTGTGCCATGTCATCCTCGAGGTATTGGGGGAGGTTAAACCCGATAGGCGAGACCACGGGGGGCTCTGCGAGGTAAGGGGATGTCTAGTTATAGGTTTACCGTAATTGCACAGGGTTGCGAGAAAACGGACTTCATTTTAGATATTCTCCAAGAAAATGAGATGACAACAATCGGCGCAGGTCTTTTCCAAATTTCTCACCTATGATATACCAAAAGGAAAGTTTTCTTTAATTGGTTCCATAGTTAGATGAAGTTGAAATAAACAATTCGGTGGAAATAAACTGGTGCATGGTGATCTGATCGGTTGCCTCAAATGCACTTCCGCCAACCCCATGTCGATGTAGTCGCACAATTTATGCGCTGCATGTCAGTGCTAGAGAATTTTTCAGTTATCGCATTGAAAAAAATGTGTGTCTAATGACAGGTTTTAATAGAAAACAATCTCTCTATCAAAATAAATTGCGAAATACATAAGAATGAACTCTCCCAAAGAGCCATTCACCGAATGAAGGCCTGAAAACTTATTACACCCGATGCTCACATCTGAGGGGATTAGGGTTATAGCCCGATATGAGACACCGTGGAGGGTAGATCCGGTAAAGTGAGCTGGTGCCCATTTAATTCTCCTGGGGGACAAAACCTCCCTTAAAGGGGATTTCCTCAGTTTTGGCAAGTTAAGCCCCTATATTACTCTAACCGATGCCACCCGAGTGGCAGGTTATAAACATCAATGAATGAAAACCTTGAAAAGAGCCAGCGCGAGGTTTGAAAGAATTTGGGTTGAGGTTCTTTGAGGGTTTAGCGACAAATTGATTGTAGAAAAATTGACTTTTGAGAGGTAAATTTGAAATTGATACAAATTTGAAGAGTCTTATCACACCAAAAACTATAAAAATTTAAGGTGGCCTTACATTGTAAACTAAAAACGAAATAAGATTTACTAAATCTTAAAAATAAGTGTATTAATAAATTATTTATTATTTTTGTGCCAAATTAAGATCTATTTAGGGGTTAAAAATGGTCGAAATAAAGCAGGCATATCAATAAGGTTATCAATAATTATCAACGCGTCATCGCAGCGCCCTGAGAGAAAGACAACGCACTCAGTGCAATACGTGGGTCAGTACGACACACTTGCCTTCGTGTAATAAGTTACGATCTTTTGGCAATTCGTCCTGACTGATTTTCACTCCACAATTCACTTGTTTGGGTCAAACTTGAACGTCAGGAGCAATCGATACAGAAAAGTGAATCAGAACGACCCACTGATTGCGTGTCGCTATATAGACGAGAGCGAATGGGTCATCCTAATACAATCATGCATTTCTACAATGGGAGAAATAAGCTGGTCATTGTCCAAAAGGCAATGCACTTTTTGGCATTTGTGGGTCATCTTGATCCAGTTTAACTTGTATCGGTAGAAACGTGTCACTGGGACATGGCAACCAGTGGCACGCCTAACCCAGTTAGGTAATTTTTTCTGTAGATTACCCACTTGCAACAGGAAAATGTGTCAGAGTACAATTGCTGTGTCTTGAAGGGCGTTGGAGCTCTTGCTGTCGTTGTTGCCTCTATTGTCCTTTTCTAACGAAGAACACTTTCAAGGAAAACATAAGCTGAGAAATTACTCCAGTTTGTGGCGCTCAACATGTCATGTCTGTTCTTTCCCAGTGGGGCAAACGCCGCACTTTTGGTCAGGCTACCCAAAGAAAATTCGGGGACCGCCTAGCGTTCGGCCGAATAGTCGCTAAACTCGTCGCAAATTTATTTTGGGTATGCTTGGCCACCCGATCTGTTTCTGAAATTCTGACCAAAATCTCCATTCTGACTTTGTAGTCACCTGAGAGTATGAGAGGGTTGGCCGAGCCAAGTCATACCGAGCTAGCAAGCTGTCATTCAAAACCAGAGCCGGAGCGGACATAAAGCTGCTGATTTACATACATGCTCCCCGAGTCCCAGGCGGAACCTGCTGCAAAATCGGGCCCGCATCTAAATGGAGAAGTGGAGGAAAGCAGAGCAATGTCTAGCCTAACCTAAACTATAGTAGCTCAACTTGACCTTCCCCCTCATTGCCTTAAATAACCTGTTCAGGTTAACCTTTACTATCCTAGCATAGCCTAACCTACCCTCTCCCAGTCTAATATAATTAACCTTGCTCTAGCCTAACTTACTGCAATCAAAATCCATGTAACCAATTCAAGCCTTACCTAGAATACACCACCACCGAAAGACAAACCCTTCCACCCATTAACTATAAGACCCTAAATCAGCACAACCTGTCGTATAACAAGCCAGTAACACCACCAACAACCGACACCTTCAAGTATCATCAAATGCTACCAGGTGCCCTACATGCCATCAAGTACTGCCACTTTACACCACCCAGTACCACAAAGTACCATTAACAAAGAGCTGCGCATGCACGGCCATCTCCCCAGCGGGGTTGGCCGCCACGCAGGTGTAGTTGCCCTGGTGGTGGCCCTTGACAGGGTCGATGGTCAGGATGGACGACCTGCCTACTTCCAAGACCTTAGTGTGGTCGGAAGGGGTGAGGGGCTGGCCGTTGTACAACCAGGACAGTAGGAGAGGAGAGTCCCCCTTCTGGACCACGCAATTAATCTGCGCCATTTCACCCTCGAGGTGACGGTCAGAGTTGAAACTCATCGGGAACAAAACTGGAACCTCTGCAACGGGGGTTGAGGGAGACCGACGTGTCAAATGTTTGCGAGGGTAGCTGAGGATAGAGCGAGGGTAGGTAAGAGTAGGCAGTAGAGAGACGGTAGTTGAGTGTAGGTGAGAGTAGAACGAAGGAAATTGCGAGCAGAACGTATGTAGGTTGATGAGAGTAGAGCCAGGGAGAGAAGAAACATTGGACGCGATGTTTCTTCCTCATGAAACTACACTTTAAACATGAGTTGGCTGACTCATGCATCAGGGGGCATCGTAATCACTTTACTCATTTTTGGTGTCAGTTCAATGAACACTTTCCGTCCAAACCCATCCGCTGACTTATTATTGTCTCTGACCCTTCCATAGTCTCTGACAGCCCCTATAAGGAGCTTGGTACGAACGTACCCTGATGACGTGCCTCGCGTGCCTTAACGACCCCTAAGACGCTTGGTACGACCTACCCTGATGACGTACCTCATTCATCACGTTAGAACTTTACTTATCCGTCCAGTGCATACTACCCAATCATGGGTATTAGCTGATGTCTGGAGATACTACACCCTGCGTCATTAAGAATAATTTATACTTAACACGCATATCTTCAATGTGTTGAGCATATTATGAAATATTAACAAACTATATAATTTTTAATCAAAGCATCAATAATTATTAATTTAACCAATACATGAGATTCCTTAAGACTTAGAATAACACAAGCACCACAAGAGCCTGGCGGCAAATTAAAGGCGAAATATCAGCGGCGACCGTCCATACCACGCCCATCATTCAGTACACATATAAATATTTATAGGAGTTCCTGTAGGAAACAATAGCAAAACTGTAAAATATTTTGCAAAAATGTTAATACAAGATAAATACAATGCAGTTTATTTCCGCATGAATTACATACAAATGAAGGTGCATCTCTACAATACTCAATTAATGTCTAGTCGAGACGATAAATTCTAGTCTCTAGTCTCAATTAAAAAATACTTAATCTAGCAAAATAGGAAATTAAAAAGTGCATTAAGGGGTAAATTTTCCATTTTATAAATCAAAAAGTTTACAGAAGATCACCTATGAAGACGCCGTTTATTGCAAGCATTTTAGAAACTAAATTAAGGTGCAGGTTAGTTTGGAACACATGAGTGAAAAGAGACTACGAGAAGCCGAATACCTTGCACAAACAAATACACATAAAAGATGACAAAAGCGAGACAAAATTAGGAGAAAAATCGCAAAAAACATGTTCAAATAACATAAAACTACCATATCACAAAAAAATAAACCTTTCAATTTCCGAGCCGTGACAGAACCAGTAAATCAATAACAATCGAACCAACAACTCAATAGCGATCGAACCAACAACTCAAAAACAATCGAACCAACAATTCAATAACAATCGAACCAACAATTCAATAACAATCAAACCAACAACTCAATAAGAATCGAACCAACTCAATTACAATTGAACCAACAACACGACTCTATCAGGACTGACATATATTCTTGAACGTCAATGGAGCATAGAAAAACACCCAGTTGTGCGGCAATAAGCAGATGTCGAAGCAAAATAACGGCACAACATTCAACGGAGTCACGCCTAATCACTGGCGAACTAAAATAACGGCAAATGTTCCAGAAACAATGCGGGTGCCCTGCCTAGTAACGGCCAATTATGCCCCGACCTGCCCTTTAACGGCTATCGAAGCCCCGCCCTCTCAGCAGTAACGGCTTCTGGGGCCCCGCCACGCCTAGTAACGGCAATCGAGGCCCCGCCCAGCCTAGTAACGGCAAACGAGGCCCCGCCCAGCCTACTAAGACAAAAAAGCCCCCCTTCGCCAAGTAACGGCTAACAAAGCCCCGCCGCGCCTAGTGACGGCCAACAAAGCCCCGCCCCTCCTAGTGACAGCCAACAAAGCCCCGCCCCACCTAGTGACAGACAACAAAGCCCCGCCTCACCTAGTGACAGCCAACAAAGCCCCGCCCAACCTAGTGACAGCCAACAAAGCCCCGCCCTCGCAGTAAGGCCATCATCCGCCCCCACCATGGACAGTTAGGGACGCCACATGACGACTCTCTCCGGCAGGGTTGGACGCGACGCAGGTGTAGTTGCCAGAGTGACCGTGGGTGGCGCTTTCGATGGTGAGAATATTAGACCGCGCCCCTAGCTTGGTGGTGGACACCCCCATGGTGTGGGACACCTCCTTGCCGTGGAACTGCCAGCGAATGGTGAGGGGCGTGTCTCCGTCAGGCACGTAGCAGCCAACCTGCACGTCCTTCCCCGCCAGAACCACCGCGTCAAAGTCGAAGGGACGGATCCGAGGGGGTTCTGGGATGCGGGTAACGAGTTATACGCGTAGGAAGCGGGTATAACTCATCCGATGCAAAGGGAGTACTCGCTAGTACAAGAGGCTAAAGAGTACAACCTTTCTGATGTCCGTAGGCACTAGCTTGTACGAGAGAGTTAACAGGGTACAAAACCGACGTTCGCGGTTACCCAGTACGAGAGGGTACAAGTAACCACCTTGCAGATGCGCGCGGATACAAGCATTAAAAGTCGATTGAGTATACAACCCTGCCAACGGATTCAGTCGATTTTACTGCCCAGTCTTTTCACCCCCTTGATTTCTTACACAGGGTGAAAAATCCCGTTCGAGTAGAGAGTACGATCCTCCAATCATGCGAGGTTTATCCTTGCTCTGTGCGAACGATGGCGAAGGTTCTGGGCCCTCTCCAAAAACGACTGACCACGACACGGTAATATAAGTAATAGTTGTAATCGTGATAGTTTATTGATTAATACAGCTAAAAGTTTGGCGATGAAGTGGGCATATTCTTAAATATTCGTAGAATGAAATAATGGAAGTTGTGAGTGTAACACCGGAAGCTGCGAGCCCACAACGGAATCTATAAGCGCGACATGGTAAGCTGCAAGTGCAAGCTTCAATGGAAGCTTGCACCTCATTCGCTGACCAGACTTCTGGATGGTGTGATAAAATCTGGTCTGGATGGTGTGATAAAACGTCTAGGCAAGCGAAAAAATGTAGACAAGGTTGGAATGTTTGAAGTTAAAAGCTGGAGAAGAAACAAAATTAATAAGCGATAAGCGAAATGAAATTCAGAGTATACAAGTAGATACATTTCATTTAATACGAAAAAATGTACAATTTCTTGAACAAATTTAATTTATAAAACATCTTGATAAACCTGACCGACGGAATACGACAGAAAAAAATCCGACCGACGAAATACGACAGAAAAAAATCTGACCGACGGAATACGACAGAAAGAATCTGACCATTGGAATACAACAGAAAAAATATGATCGATGGAATAAGAAAAAAATAATGTCGACGAAAAACGAAGCAAATATTCAGTAGTTCAGAGGCGCACTGTTGTCCTGCTAGCGGTCTATTATGCCCGATAGCGGATTGATCTAATTGGCAATACTAACGGCTGTCATAAATTAACCCATTAAACCAAAAAATCGGGTACCGTTTAGGCTTCTGGGCCTATACTTTCAAAAAAGTTAAGAGATCGTAAGTTCATCAGCCAATCATTGACGGCCTATCGAGCTAAATCCACCAATCGTAGACAAGAAAATAGAGCGTAAGTACTTACGTTCACTTAGCGAGTTTTGAAAGTGTGGCCCCTGCTCGGGAATCGCAAGACTTAGCTTAGAGTTATTTTGGGTCTGCTTGGCCACTCTATCAAGTCAGCTTCTGATCAAAATCTCCTTACTAACTTTATGTATAGTTAGGACAGTATAGTGTCAGTTTTTCGCATTAAATACACTGTTATTTATAGTCGCCTATAACAGTGTGACAAAATTTGGCCCGGCCGAATCATGTCGAGCTTTCAAACTGCCCAGAGGCTGGACTTCAAGCCCGGCCGCAGCGGACATTAGCGACTGCCTTACGTGCTCCCCGAGTCCTGGGCGGCGCCTGGTGCAGAGTCGGGCCGCATCCGGACATTGTTATTGTACACAACAACTGATAACCCACTACCTCCAATTATATTCAACTACCAACCTGCCGACCTTACCACTGTCCTACAACTGATATCTAACCTACCCTCCACCTTATAAACTCGCTACTCTCCTACAGATAATTCGCTACCCTCCAAACTAATAACCCACTACCTTTCAGCTGATAACCCACTACCCTACGACTGACAATCAACCAAAGGACATACGGAGTAGATAAATTGGCGACGAGGTAGAATTCCCCTGGAAATTCACTCGGCATTTGACTCCCACTGAGCGTAAAAGTTTATCAATTAGCCTTCAGTACTCCTAAGTATCCAAGTGTTCAGCACGCACGGTAACTGTGCCCAAGTATCCCTCAGTATCTTCACCATGCACGGTAAGAGTGGCCGAGTATCGCTGGCTGCCAGCAGCGTTGGTAGCGTCACAAGTGTACTCCCCGGAGTGTCCGTGGGTGACCGAAGTGATACTCAAGATACTCGAGCGGGCCCCCACCTTCATGGTATTGACCCCCATGACATGGGCGACCTCCTTGCCGTGGAAGTACCAACGCAGGGTGAGTGGCAGGTCCCCCTGCGCCGCGTTGCAGAAAAGCTGCACGTCTTGGCCCGAGAACGTCTTGCCCGGGAACTCAAACGGCAGAATAACGGGCGGTTCTGCCGTTTATAATAACACGAGAGAAAATAATATAGTAAAAATGTCGTTTTCACCTTCCTATGTCATCGCCGCTCTTTCGCAAACGTTTCTTTATCGTCCTCTGCTCTAGCGCGGAAATGAGGAGTACTGAACGCGGTAAAATTCGAAACGATAGCAGTTAAATAGGTCTTGGATTCGGTAGATATATCACTGTAGCGCAGCAGTAGCGGCACCGTAATTAATTAGAGGAGCGAGTCGTGGGTTCGAGCCTAGGAAACTTCAATTCATTTCTCAGTGTCGCTGATTGGCGGCGCATGGTAGCTGTCGAATGTGGTGCTTCAGCATGGTTACGGGGGGTATCCAAAACTAA